TGTGTGTGTGTGTGTGTGTGTGTGTGTGTGTGTGTGTGTGTGTGTGTAGTAGTGATTCAGTTTTATGATTAATGGGAGAATTTGAAAGCGGTAAGGTATACACTCACATTATCTCATTGATTTTATCGTTATTTTTAGTATACTTTTCTTTCTTCTTCATATTTCATGACAAAAATTTTAACGATGGATAACGAATATGAATATAATAGTAATAATTAATGTAATGTTAAAATTAATTAACACTAAAACTGTTTTATTATTATATTCATGTTATTATATTCATATATTTTATTATTATATTCATTATACAAATTTGTTATTATTATTATTATATTCATTATACAAATAAACAAGAAATAATAGAATAAAATTCTAAAAATTCACAACAGTTTACTATCTTGTTTTATGTGAACGAGATATAATGTTTTTTTTCTGACATAATGTTTATTTTTATAGTTTTGAAATTGTTTTATAAATTCTATTATATAACAGTTTGTTTATATTTTAATGAATACATGTTACACATCTTTGTCAATTTTTTTAGTTAGTATTTCAAATATCTGGAATCTTAGTTATAGATTCGATGATAGTGCAAAGAATTCAGTGACGTCTCGAAATGTACTCTGAGTCATAATCTGCGATCTACATTTTTCGATGAAATGATAAGCATACACGTAGATCATACACGTAAATTATAACACGCAAATATACAATAGAAAAATATATATACACATGTGTATGCACACGTATAAAATATATAGTTTCATATTTATATGTAAAAATATATTTGTATTGTAATACAAAGAAAGGTGTGAGCATTAATGTTAATTAATTGTTGGTTAATGATGATTAATCGTTGATCGTTGATAGATTACTAATCGTTGGTTATTAAAAATATAGATGAACGTGGTTTGTTAGTTACGACGATCAACCGAAAGTGAAATTCAAACGAAATCCAATTTTTCTTCATTATTATCATTTATTAAAAATAATAAGATCATAGATTTGATATAAAGATCAATACAGATTTTATAAATCGAACTTTTTGAAACAATTTAAAAGAATTTGAAAGTTAAGCACTTTTTACATTACACAATAAGAAGAGATCTCGAAATGGCATTATTAGAATTAATCTTCTGAATATTCGTTAAAATAATTTTATAGGAATCGGGATAAATGATAGTGAGAATATATCATATCTATCGTCTGGGACGGATGTGGTTAAATATTCCAATTAAAGGCTAGCCTTCAATTTATCGACATTTAAAAATTCATAAAATGAAAGATTATATAACAAGTCGATTGAAATAACGAGACAAAAATTGTTTCATAGATGAAAATTTGGAAGAATTGATTGATCCTTGCAAATGTTCTGGCACATTGGGCCTGATGCATGCTCGTTGCTTGGAAAAATGGTTGTCCATGTCGAACACTGATCGTTGCGAGATTTGCAAACAATTATTTGCAATACAGAAGAAGAACAAACCGTTGTTAAAGGTGAATTTTTACATATTTAATGATTTTAATTTCTAATCGAGTAAGAAATTCTTCGAAGAAATTCTTCTTTCTAAGTAAGAAATTAATGAAAGAAAAATACGAATCGTTGGTTTGGATCTTATTCGTTCGATCTTATTTATTACTAAGTACAAGTTATTGTAGTCTTTCAGACAATGGTGGAGAACTAGAAACAAATACGGACCACAAGGTATAATTGGCGATATAACGTGTCTGGTAATGTTAACTCCACTTTGCATTGCGGCGACGTACTTATGCGCAATTGGTGCATCTACTTATACAAAACTTGGTTTCTGGGAAGGAATAGGCTTGGCTGCTCTTTGTTGTATGTTGATGACTACTTATTGCTTATGGTTTATCATCACTGTCAGGTATGGCTTATGATCTTTACTCGAGAAAAATCAGCAACTACTTATTTATTTCTGACCCCGTTATAGGAAAATATTTGTAAAATATATAATTTGAAAAAAAGCATTCAGAGCGAGAAAAAATCCCTAAACCTAAATCCTAGCAATAATAACTTCCAAATAATCTCAACATATTTTAACCAAAAATTTTGATTGACATAAAAGTGATTATATTATTGATTTCTTTACAAAATTTCCCGAATTTTTACTTATTTTTATTTATTATGTCAGGAATAAAATATTATTTTATTTCGAAAAATATATGTTTAATTAAATTAACTGAAATTGATATCATTGGATTATTCTGCTCTCACTGCGCTTTATATTTCAATGTTACAATTACTTCTTGCTTTACATCTCGACATTTTATCTTTCATATGTTGTATTATATCAATTACTATACTAGCAATAATAACTTGGAAATAATCTCAACATATTTTAACCAAAAATTTTGATTGACATAAAAGTGATTATATTATTGATTTCTTTACAAAATTTCGCGAATTTATTACTTATTTTTATTTATTATTATTTGTCATGAATAAAATATTATTATTATTATTTTAAATAAAATATTATTATTATTTATTATTATTATTTGTCATGAATAAAATATTATTTTATTTCGAAAAATATATATTTGATTAAATTAACTGAAATTGATATCATTGGATTATTCTGCTCTCACTGCGCTTTATATTTCAATGTTACAATTACTTCTTGCTTTACATCTCGACATTTTATCTTTCATATGTTGTATTATATCAATTACTATACATCAAGGTTTCCCTAGAGGAAAGATTAAATACGATAAAGATAATAAATAAGCTCTGATTATATCTTGTATAACTCATTAAAAATAAGGAATCAACGATGCAGAAGTATCTTAGTATTTATCTTAGTCAATAATCGATTTATCTTCCTTTCTCTACACTCTAAATCAAAATTTTTCCACCTTTAGCAGGAAATATTATAATATTGTAAATCTTTGCTTTCAGATTCCATCTCAAGTCTTGGCAACAGTGGCGCAGGAAAAATCAAGATATCAAGCTAATGATAAAGCATAAATCCGAAACCTGCACTATCGAATTCTCAAATCCTTTGGAAAATGAATTTACAATTTGAAAGGTTAGATTAAGTTAGCGATACAGAAGCATTGAGTAGCTTTCATTGAGAAATTTGATTTCTGAAATTGCTATCATAGGTTGTCATATATTACATTCTGGTCATATCTGTGATCGAGCAATATAAGTTTACACGATACGGTGCTGTTAAATGATTTAAAGCACAGATCTTGTGAGCGATTAGATGAATGTCTTGATATTATAAATCGATACTGGATAATATTAATAAGCAATAATGAAGTACCTGAACCGCGAGATAAAATAGTTCTTTTTACCGATAACTTCGTTAATTCAATCAGTAACTGGTTGTTCGTGAATTTCGAAAATTTAACAAATGGAATGATAATAATTTACTCGAAATTTTAAACGTTAGTAATTAATATTTGCATTGGACAAGTGCAAAATTTCAAAGTATTATCGAAGATGCGTACTTAAATACAATACTTTACTTTTATGTGATACTACTAACATACCTGCTTGCATTTCGATTTTTCGAGTGAAAAAAATACTGATTTATATACTTTAGTACTTCTTCTGTACTTTATACTGAGATTATTTAGTTAATTTAATGCAATGCTATACGCCATTTTTAATCATTTATTTTTATACGTGCGCTAAAAATTAGTGATATTTATGTAAGAACGTATCTTTCATACGCTGTATATTGTACATCGGAAGAATTGCGGATGAACTTTTTATACTTAGGTAATACGTGTGTGTACATTTTTCTTAAAAAATGAAACAAAGCGTGAACCAAAGATTTTGATACAAGCAACAAAATATTAAAAATGACAAGAAATTTTTGTACAGCATCGGAAGAGATATTCATTCTTGTCATTCGATTGTAACATGAAAATTTATACATTTATCAATCGTAATTTTTTGTAATTGTATTCACAACAATATCTGAATGATGTGAAATTTATAAATAATAAAAAATTTTTAATATCTAATCGTATCGATTATACGTTTGATGTATGTGTGCATTCGATCCTCACGGAAGTAGGTGAAACTTTTAGTGCTAAGGAGATCAATTATGGATTTTCATTTGACACCGTGAACGAATTACATTAATGAAAGAATCTAAAACTTTAATGCATATATTCTTCTCTACTCTACAACTATGATATCATCAGGCTATTTCAATTATCAAGCTAATTCAATTATACAATATAATGATTCAATTATATTTTGACGAGAAATCTTAAGGATATGTTATTATCTTAATTATATCTTAAGGATATACGAAATTCATGAAAGTTTTTAGCAATTTTCAAAAAGCAATTAATTGGTTCATAGAAAAACGATCGTCGAGAACTATAACTATATATGATCGACCTTTAAGTTTCAAAGGAACTTGTATTAATCATGCGAACAATTTATGAACAAGCATAGTAGTAACAAGCATAGTACTTATATAGGATATGCCTTTTGAAATATTTATAATGACAGCATGTTAGAAACTCTGCTAAAAAAGCTCTATAAACATGAATGCGAAGACAATAATCACGTGGTATTGACAACATATTTAACAAATTTAAATTATTATATTTCTTATTTATGTTATTATAGATATAAATATGTCTATCATTTTATATAATATATGAACAATATTTTTAATACTATTCTCTCGAGTATGAAATATTTAACATGAATTACGTTAATAATTTCATATATAATATTTAATGCATCTTCATGATGGGAATAAATATCAAGGCACTGTCAACGTAATATATGTCAATTTCAGAAGGACAATGATGAATATTTATGTGACATCAAATGCAAGGGAATATATGTATAAATATACTTGTTAAAATTTGCATACTATTATTGACCTTCACTTGATCGAATATTAAGGTCAAGAGGAATGCTTAAAAAATTTCGATAAATGCAATATCTGATAAATTAATAGATTGTCACGTACTTGAATATTTGTTAAACTCCATATGATTTTCAAAAAAAAAAAAAAAAAA